TGATTTTCGGGAAAGTGATTCGGTTTCCGGAAAGGAATCCGATTTCCGGAAAGTCACATAGTTTCCTGGAAACTAATATAGGAAGCATGATATGTTAATTCTCCAATTGAACCGTATAAACAGGTTTCAGGAATATCATTCATTTAATCGGTGCATTTCACGCTGTTGCCAATATATCTCACTTCGTTCGGTGTATTCTTTAGAGTAACATCTCACAAAGCAGGAGAAGCATTTCGATTTCAATTTTCTCACTATGGTCTAACAGACTCTTCGTAACATAAAATAAGCGAAACTTTTGACTTAGGACTACCTTAGAATTCTGGTCTTCAGAGGAATCTTCATGATATACAAAACTCATCTAATAGGTATAACGCAACCATCAGGTTCCTAAATCACTGACTTCCTTTCATTTCATTCATTTTCATAATCGCGCCCATTCTTTTCTATTCAATTACTAATTGAATACGATTTCTTGAAAGTTATGAAATCCATGTCATTCAAAGGTCTCTTAACACCGATCCCTTTCCACCAATTTTAACAAACTTTTATCGTTCTGTCTTTTGTAAAATTCAACATCTCCTATGAAACTTTGAATATTTGCTGCTCTTGCAAGTATTTATTCGTTCCTATACTTCGCCGAAATCCAACCTATAACAACAGAAGTACGAACTTGTTTCTAAATCTTGTTTCGCAGAATCCTCTTTCAATTTTTCTACAGTTATCAGTTATTTGAACAACAAAAATTCTTTAATTACCTCTAGAATTGCTTAAATTTTATGCATTTTTATTAATCTTTAAATTTACCTGCAAGTCTTGGTCATTAGAATTCTATTGAATTCCTACAATTACTTGAATTGCTATAATTCCTTGAATTCCATCAATACTTATTACTACTCATACTTATCCCTAAATTTTGATGACTAGAATTCTATTGAATTCCTAGAATTACTTGAATTGCTAGAATTTCTTGAATTGCTAGAATTTCTTGATTTCCTTGAATTCCTTTGTTTAGCTTCATAGCTAGGGAAGTGTCGATAGTTGAAATACAGTTGTAGAGTAGAATTCTATAGAATTTCTAATTTCTGGAACTCGGTTACTGCTGTGAAAATAAACGTGTCAGGTAAAAATCATAAATAAGAAACGTATGATTAGTGATAAAATATGTATATTACAAAAAAGTTCTAATAAAATTGTTTGTAAAAACTGAAATCTAATCCTAATTTTTAACCACTTTCAGTAAGTTTTATTGATCCGTTTCTTCTTAGCAACATCACTCGGACCAGAACGTTTGAGACCACCTTCTGCTAAATTAAAGGATAAAATATTATTCGTATATGTTAGGCAAAATTACAAAAATACCTTCATGTGATGTTCCACCAATGTTGCCTGGTAAATCGTTTCCATTTGCAGTACTTTTGTTAGATGTGATTATTCTTTTACTCTTTTTGATAGTAGTATACGAGAGTGATACTAAGTGCTTGTAAAAGTTTGACAATTGAAAATTTTTCTGTAATTTCACAAGAGGTATTTTACTGCCACATTTACATCTTATCATTGCTGTGAAATTCGTATCACTTGATGTTGTAAGACACAAATTATAATCAAAGCCTTCGGTTAATGATAATTTTGAAGAATATTTTTGGCATAAATTACTGATGGAGTTTATAATACAGCTTTGATGATAATTTTCGTTGACGAGCATAGCAGGTGATGATTGAACGATATTTGTTGTATTAGGTGGTGATATTTGTTGTTGGAGATTATATGCAGACTGAATCGTGATTGATGAGTCAGAAGTAATAGACGAAACAACAGAAGTATATCGCTTATTTTGTTTTTTTGACAATTTGATATCTTCATCTTGTTTTTGAATAATTAATTCATAAAAATAATTCATTGAACTCTTGATGCCTGGTACAACTATATACATGTCATCGTCTGATTTCAAACATAATTTTTCTTTTAAAGAATTTAAAGCAACACATTTAATGTTCAAAATGGCAAAAACACCTGATATAAGTATAAGTGAGTCAGGACTCCAAATAGATTGTATTTCAAGCAGCTCTAATGCACTTTCATCTACAAAATGTTTGGCAACATTGTAGAATTGTGCATCAGTATAAGACAGAAAATCATCAGGAAGCAATGAAGTATTGATGAGACGTTTGAATGTAGTCATCAAATCAAATTGACGAGATTAGACTGGTGAAACACTTGTAAAATTATTTCTATTCTTGTCGATAGACGAGATTGAAATGATAATATAAATTCACTATGTTTTATCCTTTTTTTCCTTCTCACCCGTCTAGACATCTGATGCAAACGGATATAAGAAAATAACATAATATATTGCCTGGTGATTATACCCCAAAAACTCTCTTTATTGCACATATTTTCTCTTTTTACCATCCTATGATAATTTTCGAAAATCGGAAGTTCACTCGACTTGTTTATTGATTATCAAATTTATTTTCACTTGCAATCACTGTACTTTAATTGTACTTCGTGTACTCTACGGAACTCCGTGTACTCCATTGTACTCTTCGTACTCTATGGATTCTGTGTACTCTAGGAGTACCGGAGTACGTCATTTCCCCCTTGTGAAAATTGCATGCCTTTCAGATCTCTATTATTGAATTATTTAAAACGCACATCTACGATCACTACATTTTGAAATTAATAGTAGAGATACGGATCGCGATCTGCGCTCTGGAGACGCAGATCAACAACAATTTATGTTATAATAATTCGAACTGTTATAAGATACATTGTTCTTTTTTATATTGTAATTATGTTATCCTGTTGATCTTTTATATAAATAGTTGATTTTCGAAGAAAATCAAAAACCACCACCAAGACCAGAGCTCTGGCTGTGATGAAGACCAGAGCACTGACCATTATAATGAAGGTGAAAACCATAAAGATAATGATTATGAAGACAATAACCGTGACAACCACAACCACCACAGCCATGATTATGACCATGTGCTGCAGCTTGTTGCCTTTGAGCTTCAGCTTGTGCTGCAGCTCGTTGCCATTGAACTTCAGCTTGTGCTGCAGCTTGTTGCCTTTGAACTTCAGCTTGTGCTGCAGCTTGTGCTGCAGCTCGTTGCCTTTCAACTTCAGCTTGTGCTGCAGCTCGTTGCCTTTCAACTTCAGCTTGTGCTCGAGCTTGTTCAGCACGCAGTTCGTTTTCCCTTCTGTCATTTTCTGCTTTCATTGCAGCTGCATATGCTCTTGATTGGGCATCCGCCTCCTGTTGTAGTTGGTCTCGTTGTCGTTGTAATTCAACAGCTCTCTGTCTATTTAATACAGCTGCTTGTTCAACACGCTCTCGTTCTCGATTGGCCAGTTCGTTTTGTCGTTCCTTTTCGGCTTCGGCAATTTTTTGCATTAGCTGAGCTTCTTCTTCTAATCGACGAGCTTCAGCCAATTTCAAAACATGTCTACATTCTTCGAGTAGCTCTTCTGGATCGACAAATTCATGCATGCAACATTCAGTTGCATCTAATTCATCTTGAATAGATTTTGGTAATTGTGTTGGGTCATTCGATACCGTTCCCGTAGAAACATCAGCAGTACAGAAGAATATTTTCGATTTTGCTAATTGAATCATTGTGTTTATATAGAATTTTGTTAAACATTTCCTTTCACGATTTAGTTCATCGTTGAGCTGCATTCGTTCCTGTTCGGTTTCCAGTCGTTTCAGATCGTAAATTACTGGACAAATTACATTCAAAACATATAGATAAAGTTCATTTTTGAATAATTGTATTTGATCTGCAACAACTTCTTGCACAAATCTCGTACGTAAATAACGTTCAAGTATCGAATCTGGATTTGGCATATGATTACTATTAATAAGATCAATCAGTTCCATAATTAATTTTGCAAATTCTTCTGAACGAATATACTGACCTTGCGCAGCGCCTGGCAGAACTTTACCACCTAAAACATTTCGTAATTTGTAGAACTCACATATGAAAATGTGAAGTGTAGGTTTAAGGTCGGACTTTTAGACTCTTCCCTCCCTTCCCCATGATATGCAGTCTCCTTTACAGGACATCCTTAGTTATGGTAGCTCCTTGGTTACCAGATCCCTTTCTTCACGGAGTTATGTGAGTTCCATATTTTCGTCCTGCCAGAAACTGTACTGATAGGTTTTTCAAAATATATCCTTCTCACCACAGTTCCTTACCTGTTGATAATAGTTGTTTTCTTGCGTGTAATACTGATTGTTGATATTCTTGCGCCCGTGAGTCATTCAATAATTTCCACATGTCGAGATCCTGGGAATCTCGTTTCAACGAACCGGGTATAAACGATATGTTAATTGCATCTTTTTTCGTTAACATACGATTAATGTAATCGTAGCGTTGTTTCAATGTATTCACATCGGACGCTGTCATTTTCTTGTGTTTGCTTCCGTCGACATCGAATATTTGCTTCATCCACTTTTCTTTTGTGATCACTACATCGTTACCGTCTTCTTCATTCTGTATAAATTCGGGCATTTCGAGTGCAATAATCCACAAATTCGGAAGCACATGCGGTGTTTTCATATGTTCGAAACGGAGTAGAGCATGATACAATCGTTCACATTGTGATCGTTCGATTCGAGCTGGCCGTATGAGGAGAGCGAACGACGTCGATATCAACATGGAAAATAAATAGAGATTAGCGCCAACATTTTCATCGAGATCGCCCATTCCTTCACAATCCAATAATAAAATTGATCCTTGTCCATCCGGATGTTCCAACGGTTCACTCCACATCCAAATCCCCTGTGTAACGCCACTCACGCCTGCACCACTACGAAACAGGCGCAACAACTGTTCGGGTTGTTGTTTATAGAATGAATTGACAATCACTGACGCCAATTTACTTTTCCCGACACCCATATTACCAACCAAGACCAATACGGATATGGGCGCTTGAAAATTCGATTCGATTCGCCGCTGAGCATCTTGATTCACTTCTAATTGAGGCAAATAATTGGGATCATTCCGTTGTTGTTCGGTCGGCTCAATACAACGAACCAATTGAATACATTCACCACCAGGACCAGAACTGGAGAGTTTACACCGAGACGACGTCATCCTAGATTGACTTGATCTTACACTCACCTTTATTTTCGAAGAATGAATTTCACCTGTAGTTTTATGGTTATATACATGTGTATGCACTTCATGATAGATTCAAAGATGATTAACTCATGAGAAAAAAACAGACTGTAAAACAAAGAGTTCGTTTTTTTCCCACCATCATCTACGAGTCACT